ACTAATAGCTAGACAATAGTAATATTGTTTGAGGCTGACTTTATAATAAAAACCATAAGCTATACATACTTCAGAAAACTGCACTTCGTATAGGAATGGCAATTCAGTAAGTTAAATAACTAATGCACTGACTATATTTAAATAATACTGTGTAAACTCTGAATTCTACTCACCTCTGTGTTTGTTGTATTTTTAATAAGCTTTTATCTGGAAAATAGTTTTATCATTGGGTTTTCTCCTTACATTGGATTTATTTTGTTGTTACACTAAAAGAAAGAACAGCACATTTCCACACTTTTATAAATGGATTTTGAATGTTTATTTTGAATATTCAAGTAAAGATTGGACATAGTAACAAACCTTTCAGGCATTAAAGGGCTACAGACATGCAGCATATTAAGTTATTCTAGATGCTGAAATCTGGCTGTCATCAGCAAATGTGAGTACAAGCATAGCTGACAGCAAGTTAAATTGCACCATGCAGAAAGGTACATGAAACAAGTTGGAAAGAGCTTAAAATCTTCTAGAGATTTTGTTCTGAGAGAAAGAGAGCCCACAGTTGCTGTGAAGTCCATAAAAGACTTGGCAATATCTTTTTATTCCATGTGAAAGATACTCAGCAATTAATGATGAACATGCATACAGATATAAAGGAAAGGATGGCATTTTCCACTTTGAAAGTCCCCTTTCCCCATTCAGCTAAAACACTCTTATTTATGTTTTCCATTCCAGAAAAACGTGAGAATAAGCACCATTTTACACAGGAAAGTGGATGTAGAATTAGTTGCAATGTATAATTGTAAAGGTCTGTAGTCACAGCTGTTATGCAGTCAAGTCTCAAACCTGAGTGCATTTTTTTGGTGTAAATTTATTTCTCCCTCAGTGAGTTACTAATATAAGACCATTGCCTCAGTCCTCAGTCTATTTGCTGAATTCATATTGCCATGAAGTGCTAGTTGTGTATATATAGATTAAGAAAAATGCATGTCTGTGTTTAACAAATAGTGGGTTATAGAAGTACTTTAAATAAGGGTATAAAGGCATGAAATGGCATAAAATCTGTTGATTCTAAGGTGAATGTCATAAATTGGAAAATGTTACTTTCAAAGTGAAAGATCTATTCTGCCTAAACTTCCTTAAAATGCAATCGTAACTAAAGTGCTACTGTAAAGCAGAAACTGGGTATTGCCTTAGCATTTTCTAGGTTTAAAATGTTTTCTTCATGATTTTACACAGCATCTCAGCTGAGTTCAGAGAGTTTTATGAGGTTAGCTTTGTGGTATATAAAACCAGAAAAAGTGTTTTCTGCATAAGGTTAATGACTGGTTTCTATTATGAATCGTACTTTCACTTTGTAATGTTACCACCTGAACACTGTCTCTAAAAATTATAAGTAAGAATTCTTAGAAGACTCCTTTTTACTACAGAACTGCTGTCACCACCTCATTCAGAGTGCATTCAGCTGAAGGAGCTTATATGAGCCTGTCAGTCCTAACAGCCTCCGGTTGCCACTGGCAAAACATACCGTTTCTCTTAACCGTGTATAGGTATAGGTTAAAGTTACAACTCTGTCAAAACCCTTACACTTTTAAAGAGTTGTATTTTTTTAAAGGCTGTTTAAATTGGCTTTCATGAGGAATATAAATAACAGAAGTTTATTGAATTAGTCAGAGTTGATTGTACACAACACAACCCATTAAAATCCGTAAGCCAGATACAAATCTAAAATAAGCGTATTCCATCATTTCCACTGTCATCAGTGAATTGAAAAAAATGTGAATCAATATGAAAATTACATTTCTAAACTATTAGGACAAAAGCTGAAAATCAGGACTGGAGCAAACACAAGACATCCTTTCAGCTGTTACCTGTTTTGTACCCTTGGTTCCAGATTCTTTTTGAAAGGTTAAGTGGGGACATATCCAAAATAAATTTTCTTGCTAGCTTTTTTTTTTTTAAATCAAAACTTTTTATAGCTAGCTATCAGCCACAGCTTGTTAAACAAGCTGCTCCAAGAGGAAGTGGCGGGGAGGGTTGGGGGTTTAGAAAAAAAAAATTAAAAAAAATTAGTGTTTGTAAAAGCAGTAGGTTACACAGAGGCAGCTGGTGAATTAGAATTCACTGTCGTTTAGTTTCTTACTCCACTGGACTGCAAATGTCAGATTCCTCCACCTGCTACTTCACTGGGATGTGCTCAGGGTATCCTTATCCTTTCTTATCTCCATTTCTGCCTTTTCTCACCTTGTGATATTATGCAACCAGGATATATCATAAGTAAATTTATGCTGATATAAATCTAGCACTCCTTCCAAATAGATGCCCAAGGGAACATACTCCACAACTTTTTGAAGTTTATAGCTTAAGCAAGTGGTATTTATAGGGGAGACATGAGATTACAATTAAATAGCTTATAATCTTCATATTTAATGTGTAGCATAATAGCCTTAGAAATGTAAGAAAGCAGTTAAGTACCCCTTGATATTAGCATATCCTACTTTTATTATGTTTAAAGAGGTACTAGTCCAAAAATTGTTTAATTTGAGTGCTAGGTAATCTAATATCTAAATTTAAGAGTTGCTTATGAATTAAACATTTATTCCATAAGCAAAACTTTCATGTTGCTCTCCTTTAATAGCCATATCCTCCCTGGTGGAACTACCTTAGTTCCTGTTTAAACTTCTTAAATTTTTTATATTTCAGGATTCGTCTCAAACATTTTACCTGCTAGATGACATCTCTTACCTGAATTTAGCTAAATATCCATTTCTTGAAACAACTGTTGTCCAGAATAGTGATATCATCAGTCATTGATACAACCATTCTGAAATGGAGACTAAGATGCTTAGAATTCTTTGACCTGTTTTGTTGCAACTTCAGCACAATCAGAGATCTATAAAATTGCTGATTTTCAATTTCATATGTAAATAGCAAAGTATAGCTGTTCAAGCTACTTATCTGCAGCCAGCTCTGGTTACTGCAACTGGATAGCTTATGCTAGCCTATTACATTATGTTTCAGTTGATAAATATGTATTATTGCTTTTTAACATTTGTAGTTAGGCAGAAAGTAGCAGAAATGAGGCAATTCAGAAAGTCATTTTTGAAAAATAAGACACATTTTATTTAAGATTAAACTTCTAGTATTGTAATAGTAAGTTTTTTCTGTGTAGGTTATTTTTTATGCTTTTAAATAACTCAGACTGTGGGAGAACTGGCTTGTTAAATAGACAAAACAATGATCAGGACAAAAGACTTTAAATATTTTCCCTTAGTTTAGTCCATAATTTAATCACAACACACTACTCATTTCAATATAGAATTCAGATTTTGCATCTTCAGGGGGTAAACGCACTTTATACAACAGATACTCACTTCTTGTCTGGCTGTTAAAATAAACAAAATATTTAACAGCTGAAATGTTATCTTTCAAGCATCAAAGTTTGAATAAGACATTTAACTTCCAGCTTGAGTGAGATCTTAACATTTGTTGAAGGCAAGTGATCAAAAATGGTAGTATTTCTCTTTTTCATGTTTTGCTGAACTAAAGATTTACCCTTGTGCATGACACCCAAAAACATATACAATTTAAAAGTAATTGGACACTATCTCAGTAATCAACTGTACAAATAAAAGTGAAGAACTGCTTAGATAGCAGTTTTAAAGACTTAAATGTATGAGCACAAGCTAGCAATGACTCATTGTAACAAGCATCACACAAAAAGATGGCAATGGAAAGTCAGTCTTCATCATGTCAAGGTTCTTGTTTTGTTCTCAGTTGGAGTTCTGTACCCCGCTTTAAATGACAGGATTCATGAAAGATATTATTTGGAAAGAATCCATTGAGCAACATAAGGATTATAGTTTAAACAGTTTCATTAGAAAATATTTTCTTCACATAAGGAAGGTTTTAAAAGATTTGAAAAGTATCAAAGGCTACTGAAAAGAGGAGGAAAAAATCCTCTGAATTTGTGTTGGTTAGCACAAGAATTAACCAGTCTCACTTATACCATGGCATATAAGATTGAAATGCGGGACTGAAGTTCTCACACATTTTTGGTTGGAAGCAATGCTACTTCCTACTACTTTCTTTAAACACTGATTGTCATTCAATATTTAGGAAGCTATGGCCACATCTCCCATGTTATGCTTCCAAGTACATGCTCCAAAGATTTGAAGAATTCTGTTTCTGCTTTACTCCACATTTCATAGTTTAGCATATTCAATTTACTTTCCCCCTTGCTTCATTAAATAGTGGTAAGACAAGCAAATGTAAGCTGAGTTTTAACCACCTAAGAGGTATGATTTTATTGCGCATTACCCATGGATTGGGGAAAAAGTTCAGCAGCAACTAGAATAAAAAGTTAAGACCTGGATATAAAATACATAACTAAGAAAACTGCAGTCATGCTATTAATTTTAGGGCAGTTCTTGCCATTTTTTTCCAGATCTAAGTAACTGTGGTAAAATTCAAAGTTATACAGTCCAGTGCTCTTTCACTTTAAGCTCTGAGAAAATAAAGCATGAAATGGTATTTTAAAATGTATATTGACTTTTTATTCACTTTCATAAATACATGTTTATGTCTATGAAAAAGTCTACCAATTTAAAATACTAATTCAGTTATCCATTTTATAAATAACATGTGCTTGAAATTATGCAGTGTTGACAAACTTCACTGACATTTATATGAAATAAGAAAACAGTTTATTTTTTTATTAGAAGTATAACATGTCACAATATATATTTATTTCAAAATAGTATGCAGCATGCAAAATGAATACTATTTTTATATGATTTTATTTTTTTATATATTTCTGTAGGATTACATTTATTAATTTTTATAGGATTATATAAAATTATTCTTTCTAACTCTGCAGTTATTTACATTGTTGGAGCTATTTTACTAATTAACCAGTGAAAAGGGAAAAAGACAAAACAAATTACCAGGAAAGCTGTATGCATTTAAGACAGCTCAATGAGCAGATAACTAGAACATTGACATCAAGGAATAACCTGCATAACTGGCCCATTTTCTGCCCATTGGAAAAAGCCACACTGCTTTTCCTTCCCAAGAGGGCACACAAAAAAGTTCTTTCCATTATTGGGACCAATCTTCAACACAGTCTTCATAACACATCGTTTGCCATGGTTACAAAATGGAAAATCCAAGTCAGCCCACTGCCAAAAGAAACAGGGTGCAGGCAGAGTTTTAGCATACATGATGGCTATGGATTCCGTATTTTCTACTGGCAATAGAAGCAGATCTACAGAGAAGGCCCTAGCAGAAATTCTTCCTAGCAGTTAAGACAGTTTTAGCTCTTTTGTGATCAGTGATTTTAGATTTTTCTCTAATATTAATTGCAACTGCAGTCTTGAACAGACGTAACTTTAATTTATGTTAACCTACAGTTTTCTTCAAATTAAGACACTACAGTCACTACTGTTTTGAATTCATCCATTAACTACCTGATGATAAGGTGGCTAAGTCAAACTCTTCTCAATCACATACATTCCTAGCAAGAATCAGTGGCCACCAGCTGCAGCTAGGAAGATCAGGTTAGGTACTCATGCAACAGTGGGAGCCAGCTTCCCAGCCAGATTACAGTCTTCATCCTTGGGAGGTTTTCAAGTTTTTGGCTAGACAGAAACGTGTCTGGTAGCTAGATGTAGAGTTTGCCATAGTCCACTTTGAAGCAAGAGACTGAACTAAATGACTTATACAAATCCCTTCAGCATTTTGGCTATGTATCTGTGTTACATGGAAGCACATTAAGAGCACTTGCACAAGCATTAAGAGAAGTACGTAAAGTTTATAGCCAGTATTATGCTCTTAGTTTCAATTACGTCTGCAAAAAGTATTTAATATCACCTCAAATTTAAATGGACCATATCTGTCCACAATTACAACTTACTGGGACAACGAGGCTGAAGGAACAAGTACTTATTAGTAAACAGGCCCTCAGGGCTTATACATACCTGAAAGTAGTCACACCGAGTTTCTTTGGGTAGAGGACAGCTATAGAACTGCCTGCCCTTGTTTTCTCCATCCTTTCTCACAACTCTGAGGCTGCAGAGGCGGCTGTGTTTGATGCAGTGAGGACGGTCCATGCTTAACATACGAGTATCATCTGTCACATTATCTTGAGGTTTGCTGTAATGACAGGTTACAAAATAACTCCTGCATAGTGTCTCCAACATGACAGCCAAAGAATTCTTTCCTACTATTACAGTAGCTCGCTCACTGTACTTTTCCACACAATAATAGCCAGAGAACTTACTTCTCTAAGGCACCTTACTCGGGTTTTAAAGCTGAATCATTGCTAGTAGCAAATAGACAAGACTATGTCCTTTTCTTGCAAGTATATCACTTTCTCCAGCATTAGCCCATATTTTAAATTATTTCAAAGTAAATTAATCTGAAAAAAAAAAAAAAAATACTACCACCCCAACTATACTGTCTTGTCATCCCCCCCCAAATTCCACCATATTCTGAAAGAGTATTCAGTTCTCAGTGGGAAAAAGACCAAGTAAATACTCCAGGTTGAAGGTATTTGTATGCTTCACAGAATAGTCTCCTACCCTCTTCACTAAAAGGTTACAGTAATGTCCCAAATCATATTTGGACAAGAAGTAATCCAGCTGATGGGATGGAACAGCGTTCTCTGAATGGGATAAAGTTTATTTCTTTCTTCCTCATTATTGAGATAATCTGAAGGAAATACACAAGTCTTTATTTAAAACCAGTAACATGAAAAAGATTAATGCTCTAACATATTTATGGAGCAGAAAATCAGTGATGGAACTGGAGATGGAAAAAAAAAGATCAATTCATTCATTCTTTTTAAGTTATCAGCTTAGGAATTTTATGTTCTCTTTTATGTCTGGAAGATTGAGTCCTGCAAACACCAGGAGCTTTCTTCCAACACCACACTAAAACAAACAAAAAAAACCCCAAAAAATAAACAGCTAATTTTTGTTAGTTTTTGTTATGAAGTGTTTGCGTTTGGTTTTTGTTTGTTGGGGGTTTTTTACTGTTTAAATTGATGACTTGCTGTATCTACATGTTATCATGATACTGTCTCATTTATCCTTTGCACTCCTCTGTATTCTCAGTTATCCTGCCTACATCCTCAATTCTCTGTAGTCCTCTATTGAGACAGCAAGGAGAAAGTATGTTTATACAGCCTAACCTGGCTAGCCAGTGAGATCCTATTTCAAAATTAGTGCTTCAACAATGCAATAAAAAAATTCTATATTTCAGAACAGACACATGACCAAGAATTCTGTAGCATATCATTAACGTATTTCACATTCATCCTATGTAACTTACCACTGTGAAATCTACCTTGCACCCCCATTGTTGTTGTGTATGTGCACAACTTTTCCTTGAAAACTCTAATAGGTTCTCACATTTTTATTAACCAGGCAATAGATGTGTCTGAATAGGGCTATGCAAGTAAAAAAGTCAGGATAGGTGGAGCATTAAAGTAGTTATATATAGGATGGGGAGAAAGGTTAACAGAAAATAACCATAGGAGGTTTATCAGGGTACCTGTACAGAGCTTCATATAATGGAAGAATGTTGAAAACTGCTCGTTGACTTTAATTAGTATATATTAATTCACCTACTTTCCTTCTAGCATCTTTCGCAATGACTTCAAGATCTTAACAGACAGCAACTACAGTGCTAAGATCAGACTGCTCCTTGGGGTAAAACTATACTAACTGACCTATAAGAGCTCTACTGTCCTGTTCCATGGGAACAGCTGAACTATGACCAGCTGTTTAGTTAACAGCAGTATTGGCTAAATGCCAAAATCAGGACTTTTCCAGTGACAACTTACGTCATTCAGGGCTTTTGAAATCTTAAAGTAATTTTAGTTACCCAAAAGAGTAAGTTAACTCTGGCAGTAATCTAAAGACAGCAGTATCTGAACATAACTGCAGAGTATTGCATTAATCTTCAGAGATAAAGACAGTTTATGAGGTTATAAAAAGACTTGTTTACATTTCAGAATACTTACCTGGTTGCTACATTATATTGGTGAACAGAGGGTAGATGACCAGTTTTCTGTTTCTTCTGTATGTGTTTGAAAGAGAGAGGTTGCTGACAGGAGGACAAAGCCATAGCAGTTACTTGTGTTGAGCAATCCTTGTCTGTGCTTCCCCCTGACTGGTAGACATTGTTTTGGATCTGGCTACAGTTGCTTTTTGGAGCAACACACTGAGAGTGTGCATCAGATGTCTGGGTATCATTTCTCAAAACAGCTTTGTTACCAAGATCTGTTAAGACAAGAGTTGTAGTTCCAAATGCAGCTTTCCTATTGATCTTTATTTCTGTACTTGGTTTTCTGAAATCATTACAAGGGTACTTCAGTAAGTTTGCATTTAAAGCTGCAGAATCTTCAACATTCTCTGTCTTTGGAACTAAGAAAAAATAAGTTATTGCTTATAATGTGTTTGTGTAGAGTAATACATCATATTTCTAGTCTGTATTCATAACTCGTACAGGGAATGAAAGAGTAAATTTAGCATAATAACTTGACAGATCTCAAAACATGTCACACATTAGATACAGTACCAAATTTCTTACAATAAAAAAGCTCATGCATTTTTGAGTCACATACAACATGTGTTTCAAGATAACATTACAGATGTGAATAGTACTCTGTAAATTAAAGCTACTGGAGAATTAACCCTACAAAACTGAATTTGGCCCAAAAGCGGGGAATAAAATAATTAATTTTTCAAAATAATCTTTTATAATCCCAGCACTGGGAGATCACAGGGTATGGTACCTCCAGCAGCAATATGTTATCCATTTTAAAGTATGTTTTACCAGTGACACAAAAGGGAGTATTTATTTGCTGGGTTTTCTAGTGCCTAAAGGGCACTGTGTGCATCCAAACTTATCAATCTCTTACTGTAAGAGGCTTCAGAAGCTAGCAAGATCAGACATTTATTCTACATTCATTTCCTGACGCAAACAACCATGTTTCTGCACATAATCAGAGGCCCACCTAGAGGGCAATAATCATTCAAAAAAAAGTGGGCATAATTTATTAATGCCATTTTAATAAATAAGGAGTCTGTAAGTAATCTTTCCTGAGAAAAAGGTGAAAAGAAAAACGTTATGGGGTCCCTAGGTGCAATCTTTGTTAGATAGCTGTGAAGCCATAGTGATCAAGAACAGAGTCCATTCTTTTCTACCATCTCCAGTAAGTGTCTCCCTCCTAAGTCTTCCCTCTGTTCAAGGAAGAAGGAATTAAACAGAAGAAAAATGGGTAGTTAAGGCAAGCACAAGAGCATACTCTTTCCAGAGGTTTTCTCAGTCGGAATAAGAATCCCTACAGTTTGCTCTCAACAATACTTGCTTCCAGGCCCCTTCCATTTTGCCACTGCTGCACAATAAAACTTACTCCAGGGCATTCAAGTTTGTTTAAAAAAGAACAGGAGCTTAGTCTTGTACTTAGCAAAGGAGCAAGGAAATTAAAATGTAGTAGTAAATAGTTATCTCTGTCATCAGACTGAGTTATTACAGCTGTATGGCTAACAGCTACCTTTACATACCAAATATTCTGTCCTCCATAATTCAAATGCTTCTGCTGACAGTAGTTAATTTCAGAAACAACATAAAAGATAAAAAATTAACAAAGTAAGAAGGCAAGGAATCCAAAAAGAGAAAGATAAACAAAACCACGTTTAAGTAAGACCTCAAATGCCACTCCTAATTCTATTTTTTTCTTTTAAGAATTTTTGTAATAGGATTCCACTGAATGTAAAGCATCTTCAAATTCCAGGCTGTTTTCAGTAATGCTATGTAGCTGGTGGTATTAATTCCAGAATAAATATTAATTGGTAAGTCTGAATCTGTGGACAGATTAAAACTTCCAGGTTTCTGGCACTAATTTTGCACAAGAATTATGCGAGATTAGCCTCAGCTGGTAATAAGTGTCACGTAAGACACAAAGTCATACTTTTATTGATTCCTGGCCTGAAGAAATGGACTTTAGCCAGTGTAAGATAAGAGTTTCACACACATCACTCCATTCATAAAAGGATAACTAGAATTAAGGAATACTTTGAAAAAAACAACATTGGAACTTATTTTATAAGAAGAGATTGGTATCATAAAGACACTTCACAAGCTGGCACTTTGGAAGCAGTTTAGAAAGCATAGCTCAAAATACCACTAAAGCTATGGAAATGTGATCTTAATTCTGATTTCAGCATACATACTTTGAATAATATAGTTAAATTCAGTGAATAATAGGTCCTGGAGCCCACATGAAAACATTAATTCTTCTTGGATACAAAAAGCCTGTCTATTGTTTACAAATATCCTTTATTGCAGTGTTGTAGCACTACAGCTAGAAAAATAAGGAAGTTGCGGTATGCAGATTTCAATCACTTCAATAAATAATGCACTATATAGTAAGTGAAGTATTAGTTTTTTAATCTAGATTGCAGCATTAAAAGCTCCAATAAGAAACCAAATTTGAGATAAATCCAGGATCATCCTTACGCTGAATTTGGAGGTAAAAACCTAGACCCTGAGAAACCCAACATACTTTTGGAAGGAGTACTAAAATATACTGCTTTTGTCCACATTAAAAAATGATAATTACTTGTCTGCACCCTGATTACTTCTGTATCTGACACATGCTGCAAGCTTGTAATGATTTTAAGGAGAGCTGGAAGAATGCCATTTTGTCTCACTCCTTGCCCCACGAAAAACCTGATTAAGCGTCACTGCTGAGGCCTATCTATAGAATCCCACCAGCCCACAAAGCTAGAGACAAAACATTTTTAGAGTTTAAGACAGTTTCCATGATTGCCTGGTTAAGATTTCCTCAAAATCTGACTTTAAGTTAGCTAATGCTATATAAAAATACAATTCACAGTGAGACATTTCTACAGTGCTACAGTTCCAAAAACTGCATCAAAACTATAACCCTGCTCCCTTTCCCAATAAAGGTTCCAGACAACTTTTCAGTACCTTCAGGCCTTGAAGTCAAACAGGCATCACAAATTTCAGCAGAAGGCTTATTTATTAGGGTACAGCGCACACATATCCACTCCTCTTCAGATTTCTGAGCTACATGTTCATTGCAAGATGACTCCCTGCCATATGCCCAGCCAATTAGGCTGTTTCTAGTTGGCAGTTTGCTGTGAAACAAAACAATGATGTTAGTCTTTTGTGACGTTTCTTCTACAAATTGCCATATACCATTATGTCCAGGGAGGCACAGGTCTAGAGAACAAGTAGTGCACAGTGTTATGCCTGCCTATCATAGTTTGGACAGCATGTGATGGTTAGAGTTTGGTTTATTTTTTTCCTTTACCTCAAGGACAAAACTTTTCTAATGCTGCAGAATACAAATAAAAGTATTTAAACAAAAACAGACAAAGAGTTAAGAATTAACTGATATACTCTCCAGCACAATGCCCCAGTCTCTCTCAAATTCCCTATCATTTTTAAGTACTGCAGGAAGAAACCTGGTGAGAAAGACTGTTTTAGTACTTTTCCCCCATCCCTTGTACAAAATGCTTACTAGCAAAGGCATTACTGCATGAAGAACGTTCAGAGGCTGAACCACAGAATGTCACATTGTCTAGCAAAATGATTTATTTTCTTTCTCATTTAAATGGCACCCATTAGGCCACTTTATTATCCTTACAGCCAATATAACTGAAAAACTTTAAAGTTAGAAAGACTTGTGTGTTACCATTACTTGAACACATTTAGGAGCCTGTTCAAAATTAAGGGTTTTCTTTGGAAGTTTTTTTCTGCTTTTTGGAAAGAATTCAGGAATGTCCTAGCAGTGACCGGTGAGCCAAAGTGGCACTCCAGACACTTCTATAGATTAAATTTCATTTATTCTCCTGTAAACTATACTACCTCCTATGTTGATACTCTTTATTTAGAATCATAGTTACTATTTTACAGTCACTACATGGTACCAAGGACTAATCTTGTCATAATATCCTAACATTGTTAGTATGTTAAATGTAACTTGAAGATACAAAGATAAGGGCAGTATAAGAAATCACCTTTATCTTTTATAGCTAATGTTACCATGTTTTTCACTGAAATCTACTACTGTTTAATTATTTTTTAACAAAAAAGAAAAAGACAACAAAACACAACACAGCCAAAAAAACCAAGCAACTACTTGTTCTAGATCAGAGAAAGAAAGAGGTGGGTTTATTTTTCCTTGCATCATTTTCTAGCCATCTAACTCAAAAGAACATTACTGTCTTCCTACCCTTCTGCAAAACACTTATTATCACTTTCTAAAGAGATAGCAGATTAAGGTTATCAGCATATGAAATATTTATCTTCTGTGTTGGAATTTCTATATTTGATCTGTACTTAAAGGTGATTTTTAAGCTTTATCCAAAATTCCGTCAGCCAGCTGAATCTTGAAAGAAGGATGGAGGTGGGAGAGGGATTTGTGTGTTGTGTAAATCTTATCTAAAAAAAACCACATACACACACTAATGAAAATAAAGTTTGCAAAGTGCAGCAGTATCTTTTATTAGATTGACAGAGCTCTGTATAAAGAGGCAAGATTCTGAAATTTCAGATGAAAATTTTCAAGAATAACTTAGGTATGTAAGAGTCTGAATAAGGTGCTTTTGGAACTTTTACCTTTTGACCCTTTGTGATATCAAATGCACTTTGTGCTTTTCTAAAGTGAAAAGAGGAAAGCTGCTGCTAGCACAATTTATGTAGACCTCAATGTGTCTCTGTGGCACACCTGTAGTAAAAGCTTTCCAAATTTGATAGATAAGAAGGAAGAAACGTACTAAGCCCTACAATACTTGCTGCACTCTGGATTTACTGAAGTTTTAGTTTTCTTTAGTGCAACTCTTCAGCCAGAAAAAAAATTGCATAAATGCACAGCTACCTAAATATTCCATGAGGGAAGGGGCTATCCTATGGACTTACATTCTTACCTTCCTCATGCCATTCAACTCAATTGTGTTTAAACTTCCAAGCCTATTATGTCACTAACACCAAGAATAAGGGGCAATTTTTCCAGAGGCAGCCTATAATTCTGAGTAGTCTGAATTGTTGTATAATTCCTACATTTGATTAGAGTAATAGCTATTTCATAGCATATGGGATCTTTGAAAGAAACAGTATGAAAGAATTAAAGCTTTTAATGATTTTTAAATACCAATGGCCAAAACATTTTTCTTTTGCAAAGTCAAGTAAATTTAGATGTAAACCACAAAAGGATCCCTTCTATTTGAGATATCCTCTTACTGTAATAGCATTTTGAAGTACACTGCTTAAAACTGTTATAAAGTTACTATCATACCTAACATTGACAAGCTGGGGATCCACCTTTTGACATTGAGAACAGAAGTAAGTCATCCTGTTATTCTCTCCTAAACGACACACAGTGATCTTCCCATTGCACTGACCACAGGTTGGGCGCTTGTACACTTTGTAGTGTTTGTAGAGCGGAGACCCAGTTTTGCGACACTAAAATGGAACATGTTTAAAACACAAAGTTAGAGACCCAGTATGAGTTTCATGTCATTCCTACAGTTCAGCTGAAGATAAAATAAAAACCCATATGTAAACTGACAGCTCTATGACTACATAAAGATAGTTAGGGCACACTAACAAGGGCTATTGTCTTTATTAATATGCTTTTATGAAAAAAATTTACTTTAAACCAGGTAGAAGAGTGTCTGGAATTCTCTACATAATGGAATAAAATACACAAGACTAAAAAACATACTATCAAGGTGCAAGTAAATACATGTGAGGAACCCCCTCAGTTCAGCTGGATCAGCTAGCTCAAATTCATCACCAATAATCTTTGATCAGGCATCTGCAGTGTTCTTAAAGAGCTGATGAGCTCCAATCAGTGCAGCATACAAAACAAAAAGAAAATAAGCAAACCACAAAACTAACAACACCTTCCCTCATTCCAAAAAGAACCAAAAATACACCATAGGACTGGCTCAGACCTGATGCTACAATCTGATTTAATTAACCTTTCCAAAACCTAAAGAACTGAGCAATGCAGAAATAGTCCAGAGATTCTGTAGGAGTAAGGTAGTATACCATAAAATTGCCCAGCTTCATCTTAGCACTGGCCATGACAGACAAGTTGGGTCATGAAAAGCCACTTGGCACTATGGCAAGCTCCCAAAATCCTGGCAGAAAGTTGTATTGAATTACATACAGTACAAGCCCAGAGGGCACAGTGACCTAAACAACCTCCAGAGGCTGGTATGTTTAACAGGACAATTAATACAGAATTAGCATAGACACACTCCAGCTAAAAATATCAGAAAACAAAAAAAAAGTTAAAAAAAACCCAAACAAAAAACTCCCCCACAAGAAAAGCCTAGTAAAAGTGCAGCTAAGTCTGCAGAGCCATGTGAGCTTCAGCACTTGCAATCACAGTTCCCTGGGCACAGTTCCAATGTTTCCACAGCTGGCTCAGCAATACCAGCCCAGCTCTGACACAACTCAACAGCCCTAGCTCCATAATGCATGAAGATCCTTGGAGTTTTCCCAGTCTTTAGGCACAGCAGATTGGCTTCTGCTGTGCTCTTATTCATCAGCCTCACTGAATGAGAACACTTTTTCCAGTGCAATCTAGTAATTAAATCAGAAGTAATTACTAATATATGTTTGCATGAATAGTCACAAGCAGTTTCCTTTCCCTCAAGATTTTTTCTCAAGGTTTACAGTTAGTTTCTTATTAGTAGTTTCCTTCCATTGAGCTATTTAAAACCCAAACAAAAGCAGCAGCTTTTTATACAAACAAGATTCCTCATCTTTGCATCTGTATGGTGTTACTTCAAATTATATAGTATGATTACTACAAACATTCTATAACAGTCTATAAAAATTATGAAGCATTACCCAGCTTATTAACCTATTTTATGTCTTTTTCTTAAAGAGATTTGGCAAGGGGGTTAGCGCTCTTTAGAAGTCTTTAACTGGTGAACACTTGCTATGTCTAGATGATACAACTTTTGAAAATGGCTAAACTGAGAAAGTTTAACTTGTTTATTGTTAGTCTAAAAGCCCGTGGCACATTTAAATCTCCTAGTATTATAGCTGTTGCAAAACTGGATGCTCTCTCTTTACTGTTAAGACTTCACTATGAAGTTTGGAGAATGAAAAGACTTCCCTAGCCAGAAGACTAAAAACTTCTCTTTAATGTGTTCATTTAAGCAGACTATTAAATTACATTTTTAGCCTTTCTGATTAAAAGACAACATTGAGAAAGTTAGCTGCCCTCTGCCTAGCCTACAAAAAAAAAATTTTTAGTAGCACTAGCTCCTTGCCTTTCAGGAACACTAAGAGAAATAGACAAGAATTCCACTGCTGCTGTTCATTTCCTCACATGCATCTTGAAGAGAAACGACATACAACAATTAGGTCAAAGTCTGTATTTTTCAGAAAGTTAAAGAGCATCCAGGAATTCAAGTTTACAGGAGAAGAAATGAAATCCTGATGAAAATGTAGCAATAGGGAGAAGCTGGAATTTATTTCCCTTTAGGAACTAGAAAAGTTGTTTCAGTTAGGAAAAAAAAGTTCTTAGAAGTTAAGAATCTATGTAGTCAAATAAATATACTTGCTGTTTCAAGTTTCATACAGGAAGCTCCATGAATTTCCTTCATACTTCCCTGGGGCAACCTCTAGTTCCCAGTTTGAAGAATGACCTTTATGATACCTTACATATAAGTGTGTGCTTAATCTGCATTAATTCTGCCATGATCATAGTGTCATTACTGCACATGCACAGCAAAACTGAACTGGCCCTCAGGCAGCATCTGTCAAACTCCTCTGCTGCAATTGGGTCAAGCTGTGCAGATTCTTACAGTCTAGACTCTCCCACCTTTCCTTCATTTGACAATTCACAATTAATAAAGTGCACAAAAATCATCATTCCTACTCATTAAAACACTTGTCCTGTTGCATCTTTTTACTGTTTTTACTAGACTATCACATACAACTAACATTCCGGAGTCAAGTTTTGGAGGTTTCTCAGAAACATGTGTCAGTACCTTATAAAAAAGCTGGCTAAAATCACGTGTCATTTTCACCAAGTGACATATTTGCTTATCTGTCAGTTGGCAAACCTGTAAGACAAGAATTATTTTTAGAATATTATGATGCTAAGGGGCAACAGTAGAAAGACCAGTGATGCAGGGCCACCCTGAACACCTTCAGCTGATGTGGAATTCCATTGCTTCCTGTTATGGAAATTCTCTGATTTCACATTATATACATTCTCTCAGTAAAACAGTACATTTTCACATTCTATACTATATAACCTCATTGTGTGAATACCAAACAACATACGTTGCCTCATCAACGCAAAATATTAGGTATAAATTTCACTTTTCTTCCTCTATATTGACCTAAGAGTTCCTGATCACAGGAATCATGTGGAGTTAACAACTCTTAGCTCCCTCTCAATTTCCTCATGGGTTATGATATGACCTATGTATTATCATAGGTTCTTTCCTGTGAGATCTTCAAGATGAATACTTGAGACAAAGGCATTACAATTATAAAGAGTTACCAACAAAAACATTTTTCTTAAGAACTTAAAATTTTAAGTCACATTTTTCTTTCCTCTGCCAGCTTACATTGCATATACAATTAAAATTCAGACTGATCCTGTGAAAAACTTTCAGAATTATGTTTAAATAAACATTTCAGGTATTAACTTCACCAGCTTTCCTTTACTTTGTCAGTCAATGTAATCCCAATCTGTTCTGTCAACAACAGGCTTCTTTTCAACCAAAACTGCAAGATGCATGCTTGAGGAACTTAATAAAATCAAGCACAGTAAACAACGGTAGGAAAGCAAATTATGCCAGCTAGCAGGACAGGAAGTGGAAGAAGCAGCTGCAAAAATAATCAACTGTGCCACATAAACTATTTGGGGTAGTAACTGAACGAAGAAAACCTGGACACTCTTCACTTTCCTTTACTTATAGGCTGACAATTTAATGATAGCACAACAGGATGTCAAAGTCAGGATCTGAAAGTAAAATGAGTTCCCTACTAAGGAGAAGCTTCAAGTTGTAAGAGAAAAGGCTTAGCCCCATTAATATGTCCACTCTGAGAGGCAAGAGTAACAGCAACAGGCTCCATGGAATGCCATTACAAATATCTCCAGTTATAAAGAGAAAAAATTAATTTAGTGCCTTAGATCAACATAAGAAATGACAGATGAGAAAGGTAAGAAGATGACAAAATGTTATATAAATATGTATTTACATTCTTAATGCTTTGGTGTCATTAAAAACAATCTTGAGACATCTCACCCACCTTAACAGCTGGATGGAGACCACTGTCAAACAGTGCTTCATTTTTTATGATATTTCCTACTCCAGGCAATACTGCTTGATCCAGTAACACATCACACAACAGGCGGTTTTTCTGCTGCTTAACCTCACTTTCTGCTCTTGAGAAGCTAAACTTTGGAGAACAGACATCCAAGCTTTCCATCATTCTCACTTTCTGCTCACTCTCTGCTGCATTTCTGGAAGAAAAAAAAATACGTTGAAATTTAGTTTTATTTTCATTACATGCCACATAGCAGTATGGTTTTTAAAATACATGAAAAATAACATATGTTATATGCAGATAACAGAAACCATGAAAATCCCAGTGACAGGCAGAGACACAGACATTAATCACCCCCACCAAAACCAAGTCAATAATACATGCATGGAACGTGCATCTGGTCCAATATACAATAAATCATCCTTTTTCTGTTCATATTAATTAAAAAAATAATTGCCAGGTCCTTGCTTGAAAACTACTCACAACATTGAAAGACCATTTGTTTGGACTGTCAGCCAAAATTAACTGTATGTTTACATGGTCCAGCAGTTTCAACGTGACTTGATTAGCTTAAGCATAATTTTAAATTTAAGAATAGTTTGAAAATAATACAGTACAATAAGTGTCAGGCTTACATAACTTTTTATGTTTTGTAATATTAAATAGCCTCAAATTCTTTAAAATCAAGCTTGCTATGTTAATTTTATTAGCAGTGAGAAGTATAATGCTTATGGACAAAAACATCCACTTAATATCAGTTAGAACAGATACTAATTTACTTCTAGAAAGCAAACAAAAATAAAAACACAACCTTGGGAGCATAAAAATTTGAAACAAGCAATCATCACAGATCCTAATTTTTAAGGAACTGAGGTTTGCACGTAAATTAAAGAAATCATGTGGTTCAGCATTCAGATCTAAGAATAGAATTAAATTCAAGTTTAATTACCAGTCTTGTCACTATCTAATAAGGCTATAGCATCGAACTACTTTAACCGTATATAAATTCCGATACGAAACTAACAAAATTAAATTATTATACCAATAAATATAATACCCTTAGAAAGTTTTGTTTTGCTTCTTTCATGCAAGTCCTTAATGATTTGTGTGTGGTTCTTCACTATGTTCTTAAAAGAATGTTATAAAAAGAAAGAAATCAAGCTGTGTTTAGTTTGGTTAGTTTCTGCTTTACCTATACTCTGCTGTCACATTATAAAAACAAACTGTATCTTCTGTAAGCTGTAGCTCCAAAACTGGTAGGGCTCCATTTCTGTCTTTGCTTCCATCAGGATTGATGCACATGGAACCGTTCATACCAAAGTGAATCCTTGGAGAGAAAGAGAGTTCTTATGGGTATTTTAACAATGTTTTCAAGCATCACATTAGTCTATTTTTTAAAGTTATGACCTATTCTTACCTTATCAAGTCAGTATGTAGGCATATCAATTCTAGTCATTAAGAGTGACACAGCAACAAACTACTTATTACATAGTGCTCAGATTCCAGAGAGAACCCTAACCAAGTTAGAAACACTCCAAACCCTAGCAGTTTCCAGTGGTCTTCACAATTCATTTTAAAGAAGTCAAATTTGGTCATTAAATAAGACACTTCTGGTGTACTGCACTTACAAATTTTTCTCTTGATGCACTAGTCTTTTAACATAGGTTCTTACGTCCTCAGGGAGACTGAAGCTACTTTACCAGGCAATTTTCTGTTAAATCAGGCAGAAGTTACCTGGTATGAAAGCAAAGATCTCAGTCCTCACATTGCCAACACTGTTATCATATCAAAGCTACTTGCAATAACACTATAAACGAAGTAATTAACATCTGCCATATGTTGTTTTCTGCTTTTCTTAGCCAACAACCAAGGCAAAACCTGGAGGTCAATTAAAAAATAATTAAAGAAATAAACTGAAAAATGCACAGATGGCAAAGGAATGGAACAGACTCTTTCAAGTATTCCTTTTACAGATCACTAATGCTTTGACAGGTCTTATATTTTAAAATATATTCTACTGGGAGCTAGTATACTTGAGCAAAGGGCAAGTTTGATTGTGGTCTTACACACTTTCTTTATTACAAATTCATCTGGTACATTCAAGCCTAAAAAAGTAAGAAAGAGGGAGTGCCCTACTTCTATACATTGTATATCAGGAAAAGGTGGATTATTTTGTGGCTACAGAGAGATTTAACAGATCAAACCACACAAACGACCAAGGAAATGCATCATTAGGTGGGATATTTCCTTTTAAATTCTCTTTATTACATTTCAGGAAGGACAGGCATTTTAAATGTTTATAGGTTAAGACACATTTCATTAAGCATAGTCTTAATGTCAACTCTTTATGTAACTTCCTCATAGCATTTATTACTTTTTTAATTTTTAGAAGTCTGTGTCTTTCCAAAACTCTCTTCTTCCAAGTCAGCTCAGTTGATACAGTTATTTCAGCTACTTGTATCTTTCTTCAACAGCTATTTCCAATTCTCAAGTGCCATGAGCAGTACTGCACAGGCTTAACTAGACAAATTTATTTTTAAAGCAAACTCCTGCATGTTGCTACCAAATATTAATGCATTAAATGCTTCCAGAAAGATTTTTTATAAATAAATAGCATCCACATTAATAGCTGATGGTTTAATTTAGGAAGCTCCAGTACACCGCTTAAAAAGAGCACTAGGAATAACAACTGCTAGCTACCTTTGTGACTTGTCATCTCGTTACTAGAAAAAAACCAAACTGAATCACCACTACATATTTACATTCAAAAGACTTGTGAAATTAGAAAATTTTACTCCAATGTGTTTTATTACCTTTGATGTCCTGTGTGGCAGAGCACTGGTGCCCCCACGCCGCCGCCGCTGTTGGCGGATCATTATATATTATCTGTTAAGCTCTCTGGAGCTAGCAAAAGAACCCCGGACAGGCCCACTTTTGTTAGGTTAAGACTGGGTGGCGCTGAGACCGATTTCTGGTCTTAACCCCTGCTGGGCTCTGGAACTGCCAGCGGACAGGAGGTACCTGGTTTTCGTGGGCAATAAGGGGATTGCTGGGGGGGACCCTCTGACAATGAACAGGGTCCCAAGCCAATGGGTGTCATGACCAAGGAAGAATAATGAATGACCACAGGTCAGGTCTGAATGAGTCTATAAAACAGAGTTCACCACCGGAAAGCTGGGTTTAGGCAGCAAATTATCTGAACATGTAACCCATATATCCAGCATTTCTAGTACTGCAGAGGCTGCTGAGAAGTGTTGCAATAAAACTAACCTCCAAATCTCTGAAACTGACATTAGCAAGAAAAGACAATGCCTACCAGACATACAGTCTGAACACATAGGAAGCCTTTTTCTTCACTTCTTACCTCAAAGCCTTCTGATCAAAATACATAAAAAGTTCCTTTCCCAATGTTTCCACACCCCTGTAAACATGTCCAATAAGGAAATAATGACCAGAGGTTCTCTCCTCACTTGCGGCAGTCTGAAAATAAGTACACACACACAATTTAAAATAGAATTTACACTATATTGATTCTAGCAACAGTACACATGCAGCAAGCAGCTGGATGAACTGATTCTCCAATTTGGACAATACTAAACCTGTTCTCCTTAAGCAGCTTTATCAAAACCAATGAGACTATTGACCCAAGAAAGAAAGTCACTATTGCCAATGCGAATTCTTCCCAAATTGAAACAATACATCTTTTTTTATCAGGGTATTTTATGCCCTTTCCTGCAAGTCATGAATCCAGAAGAGTTTCAGGGTGATGTTAACTAAACAGGTATAGTTTGAATATTAAACACTTGTCATGAGTGTCAATTCTGTCATTTGCAGACCTACATCCTTCTGCAAATGCCTCTCACTGGTGTTCCTACCCAAGCTAATAATATGCTTCCAGTGTTTCACATGGGCACGGTGTGTTACAGAAGAGCCCCCACTAAGCCCACAGAAGTATTGTTCTTTTTCTGCTAGTTGAAAATCGGATGAATTATTTTATGCTGCCAATGGAAAGGATAAAAGCTAGTAATGGAATTGCATACTATGCACAATGAGAGCAGATGCCAACTATTTAAGTACTTGGTATAATTAAAATTACCTTTAAAATTCTAGATTTAAAAGCTCTTTTTCTGTAGGTCAGCATGTACCTTTCATCGTGTTTCAAACTTGTGAGACTACAAAAAATTAAAAATAGGGACTGCTACTATAATGTTCCTTGTATTGTAGGTTTTCTGAAGCCAAAAGATACTTTAAAATTTACCCTAAGTGAGCACCAGTGATTCTAAAAGCTTTCTTCCGTTATTTCAAAAAAATCCCTGTGTTTTCACAGCTTCAGCACCTCTTTACATCTCCGACCTGCTAAGGCTTAGTTACGTTGAAGACATTAATACTCTATTACTGAACGGAAGAAGAACGCCAGTCCCCAGTCCCCCCAGCCCACACGGCGGCCGCTGCGGCGCAGGGCCCCGCGACAGGCGGGGAGGCCGCACCAACACCCTGCCC